CCCCTTCATTTTATTTTTCGTATCGAGGAGTCGAGGTTTTGTTGATTTCTTCGGATTTCGATTACTGTAACTTCTCTTCTATTCGGCCGATTTTTATGAATGAGGTCTCTTTTTATTTGTGTTTTAACGGAGAGTAAGGAAAAAATTGCTAAATACATGCGAAACAATTTTTTTTGAAAATTGGATGAATCCTAGCGTGACGGTGAAATGGTTAATGAAGCGTGAGTAATTGGGGTACGGGTATCGGCCGCGTTGGGACCCAAGGCCCATTGTTCTTCGTAACGCCGACGCAGTGATCAGGAGCGTGGGGACGAGAGGGCTTAGTGGACTCCTGTATGAGCCACGTTTAGCAAATGGTCTAATGAGTCTCGAGGCTCATCACAGATTGCACTTACCACTATCCTGGTGGCCCCGGCTATCAGAGCAAGGAGTACCAATTTTTGAAAAGGATAACAGTGTTGTGGAGATATGTCAAAGCAACGTTGTGAACAAAACGGAGTGAGTGAAATTCTCATTCAAGGAGTGCCGAACTGGTCAGCCATCCTCGAATCAGTTCGCTTGCTTCCGCTTATATGTGCATATTTTAAATCAGCGCGCCCCATTCTAAGGTTTTTTTAAAAAAAACCAAGAAACGTAGACTCTTGGTATTCATTACACATAAACTAGCGAGCCCCAGAATGAGAAACAAATTTTAATCATTATTATTGACGGATTAGTAAACTTTTTACACGCTTTGGAAAATCTCAGAAGTTCGCGGTAGTCACTTTTCGGTAAGGAACTAGGGGACTCGGTTATTGTATCGAGGGGGGGGGGGTCGAAACGATCGCAAAGGCGGTATACTACGTATACGCGCCAAAAAAACCCCAACAGTATGGGTACCTTATTTATATCGTGAGTCTTGTCATATTTGTGCCGTTCTCTGATTGGTTTTCCAGTTTTCGGCCATTCATGGGGCTCTTAAGGCCAAATGTAAACAAACCCAACCTAGAGAAATGTTGTATTTTCGAGGAAAAAATACATGATATTTGATTTTTACATTTTTATATTTGTTCTTCCTGGCAGAAATATTCATGAAAGTTTTTAAAAGGAACGTTCCAAAAAATGAATATGAAAAATTTCTTATCTTTTCTTAAACTCTGCTACCATCAAATTTGGCACTTCGATGCCTCCCTCTGAAGGACGCTCGAATTTTCTGAGTCCGCCATATCTAATCAGATCTCCATACTGCACTGAATAGCTCAGTAAACACAAATGCAAATGAGGTTTTCAGCAAAAATCAAACCAAGCTTTGGCTTGATTTCATGGCATCTTATTTATTATTTCTACAAAATGTAACTCCCTCCTTGGAAAAAAAAAACACATTGGATCCAGACCCTGGTAAAAATGGGCAGTAGAATCTGTGTTCCAAAATACCAAAGACCTACAGCCGGCTGTAAGATTTCCAATAGCTTCTATAGCCGGCAACACAATTTCTTATAGCCTTTTATAACCGATGACGATTAAGCAACAGCCTGGCGATAAACTGTATGCTAAACGTTACTAAATACGGATACTAGGACTTAGTTAGTTTTTGGACTACCACTCTCTTTTTGTGCCGCAGTATCTTGATTTAATTTGCGAGGAAAGCTCCGTACTTTTGAAAGATGCCTGCCATTCCTAATATGTTGGAGTGCCTTCAATTTCGTATGATACTGTGCAATACCTCTGGTGTGAAATAGTTGCTTCAAGCGCCGCAGCGCGGCGGGCGGGCAGCCAGCGCTGAACGCGCATTAGCGCCTACAAACCTAACAGGGATACTTCACGCATTGCGCAATGCGTGAGGTATCCCTGTTAGGTTTGTAGGCGCCAGTGCGTCGCCGCTCCGCTTTATGTAAGGCTTTAATATTTAATCTTGCGGAGTCAGCGTTTTTCAACTCATGATTTTGAAATATTTGCACACTCTGTATGGACTATTCTCATTTTATTTGATGAAAAAAAATATGTTTTAAAGGAAAATACAATTTGTGTTTTGTAAATATTAAGGTAGTTCCGTATCAAACTTAATGATTTCCAAAGCACATGAATTTCTACACAATTTCTTATAGCCTTTTATAGCCAATGGCGATAAAGTGTAAAGCCCGGCGACAGGAACTACAGCCCGACTGTATACTTTTTTATAGCTTCGTATAGCCCGGCTATATGATTTGCTCCGCTTTCTACAGCCAGCTTTATGACTTTCAATAACCTTCTTTAGTCGGCTATAAGAACTCCTATGGTATTTTGAAACGCAGCTCCTATCGCCAATTTTTACCAGGGGACTCTTAAAAACATCGACAAGAAAAAATACTCTTGATTTTCAATCGGATTTTTGCTTAAATCAAGAACGAAGCCTCTTAATTTGAGCGAATTTCCTTTTGATTTAAGCTTAAATTTAATTGAATCAAGATTATTTTTTCTTGTCAATGTTTTTAAGAGTCTAGACTGTAGATCCAATGTGTTTTTTTCCCCAGTGCTTGAAATACAGTTAAAATCAGGGTCAAATATGTACAATAGGCGCGCGCCTGAAGGCTCGCACCACAATGTTCTCATAATCAAGAGTGTTTGGATTGCGTTTGATGTACTTAATTTCTTTGATATGATAGGATCCTTCGCGCCGACAAACTGGCCGGACCCGGAGCCGCTGACCCGAACCCCGAATTATCCAGCCGCGTTAGAGAGACGTTACCACATGCCAGCACAAACACCTTACGAATACCCATCCTGACTCAACACGCCGAACTCGCCGCACTGGCTGGATGCATTCATCTCAAACCTGAACAGGGACAATTTCGGTGGCGGCATCCAAATGAGTCCACCGCGGCTCATGGAAGACATCCACTATGTAGATCCGCATACAGGTAAGTCCTCGCATCGAGTTTCCTCATGGGTGCGGAGTATGTAATGCAAGAAGGGAAAAAAACTTCGATTTTGTCTCAACGACACAGCTACGGTGCATGATTCTGTAAAAAGAAAGGAGGCAATTGTAGCGCACAAGATCAAATTAAATCATTTTCCATTCACATTCACCTGATAGCTGAAAGTCCAAGTAAGCACTTTCGCTTTACTTAGTTTGCTAATAGTTTTGTAGTTTTTTTTTGTACATTTTTTGTAAATTTGTTTGTGTAAAATTTTTCCACCTGTTGCACTGAAAAAGACCGCAGTGTTGGCGGTCGAAACGTTTGTTTCGTTTTGTTTCCTGTAAGTGTTTTAGTATTTCTCACCTCTAGGGCCCTGTCCACACTAGCGCAGTTCGCGGAACTTATTCCTCGAACTGCTCAGTTCCCGGAACTTCATTCCTTAAAACGAGGCATGCTATCCACACGAGTTCGCCCGAACTGGAACCGGAACTTCAATAAAACTATACAATTATTGCAAAATAATAGATTATTACGGCCGCCAAAGTAACAAAAATAAATGTCAAGACATGTAAAGGACGTAATAAACAAAAACAAACAAATTCACATCAAAAGAAACTTATGTAGAAGCTCGGATTACGTGGGAAGTTTCGGGTTTTGGAGGAATAAGTTTTAGCTCAGATGAAAACTTGTTCCGGGAACAAGTTCCTCGAAAAAAGTTCCGCGAACCGCGCTCGTGTGGACAAGTCCTATGTAGTTTGAAATATTATTTGTATAACTTATTTTTGGCTTGTAGCTCGATTATTTTAGTCTTTTTACCATGAGCACTTTTGCTTGGCGAATTTTAGCAAATTAGATTAGGGTTTCTGAACCAATGGCTCAACTCCTCGGTCGGAAATCATGATAAGGCAAATAATCACTGTGCAACAAAAAAAAATGACAAAAATGTCTCCCGTACGAAATAAAGTGATCCTTATGTATTTTGAGGCGCTGAATCCGAATATGACCTCCGTTTTTTCCCATCACCCTCCAGTTTTCCGGAAAAGTCGATTTTACCCGGAAAAATGGCCATTTTTGGGCATTTTTGGTGTTTTTGCGACTATTACCCCCTGCAGAATGTAGGTAAAATTTTTCTCCGGTACGAGAAACGGCTAATCCGATGTATTTTGAGCCGCTGAGTCCGAAAATGACCTCCGTTTTTTCCCATCACCCTCCAGTTTTTCGGAAAAGCGACTTTTCCCCCGGAAAATTAGCAAATTTGAAGTATATTTGTCATGCATGCAATTTATTTGTATAAATTTTTCTGGACCCGTGGTACAGTCATTCTTATGTATTTTAAGCCGCTGAATCCGAATATGACCTCGGTTTTTTTCCATCACCCCCCCCCAATTTTCCGGCAAAGTCGATTTTTCCGAGCCTAAATTTGTGAATAAGCTTTCCCGGACTTAAAGAGGATCAAAAATATATTTTAAACGTGTCCGCGACGTGCGATACATCGATTCTTATGTATTTTGACTCGCTGAACCCGAATATGATCTTGGATTTTTCCGATCACCCACGATTTTCCCGGAAAATCGATTTTCCTTGGAAAACTATCTTTTTCGGTGTTTTTTGGACGATTTTCCTGTTGTGAGGAGTCTAAGAAATTTTCTGAGATCCTCTCTAGGTCTCTTCTGCTATATTAAGAGCAGCTGAATCCAAATTTGACCTCTATTCATCTCTGACAACCCCCCGTTTTCTAGAAAGTCTGATTTTTCAGGGAAAAAAGCTTTTCCGAACCGTCCCCACCTCCAGGGAAATTTGAAAATTTTTCCGCACGTGTGATACATCGATTCTTATGTAATTTGAGCTGGAAAACTCGAATATGACCTCAGAAATTCGTTATCACCCACCATTTTTACGAAAAACTCGATCTTTTGGGAAAAATGGGTATTTTTGACCATTTACGGTGTTTCTGCGACTGTTGCTTCTTGTGGAATGTGCGTAAGATTGTTCTTAGCTACAAATTAGATTGTACATCAGGTATTGTGAGTCCCTGAGTACGGAAATGGCCTCTATTTTTTTCTATGAGCCCTCAGTTTTGTAAAAAAGACACTTTTTGCCGGGAGACTGAGTGAAATTGACTTATTTTAGTCTGGCATGCAATTCTTTATTTAAATAATTATCCTGGATCCGTGAAGGGGAGATTCCTATGTAGTTTTAGATGCTAAATCAGAATATGACCTCAAATTTTTCCCATCACCCTCCATTTTGTTGGAAAAGTAGATTTTTCTTGGAGAACGTGTTTTTTGGTATATTTCCGAAATTTTCCCAGAAAATCGAGTTTTACGTAAAAATGGTGGGTGATAACGAATTTCTGAGGTCATATTCGGGTTTCCCAACTCAAATTACATAAGAATCGATGTATCACACGTGCGGAAAAATTTTCAAATTTCCCTGGAGGTGGGGACGGTTCGGAAAAGCTTTTTTCCCTGAAAAATCAGACTTTCTAGAAAACGGGGGGTTGTCAGAGATGAATAGAGGTCAAATTTGGATTCAGCTGCTCTTAATATAGCAGAAGAGACCTAGAGAGGATCTCAGAAAATTTCTTAGACTCCTCACAACAGGAAAATCGTCCAAAAAACACCGAAAAAGATAGTTTTCCAAGGAAAATCGATTTTCCGGGAAAATCGTGGGTGATCGGAAAAATCCAAGATCATATTCGGGTTCAGCGAGTCAAAATACATAAGAATCGATGTATCGCACGTCGCGGACACGTTTAAAATATATTTTTGATCCTCTTTAAGTCCGGGAAAGCTTATTCACAAATTTAGGCTCGGAAAAATCGACTTTGCCGGAAAATTGGGGGGGGTGATGGAAAAAAACCGAGGTCATATTCGGATTCAGCGGCTTAAAATACATAAGAATGACTGTACCACGGGTCCAGAAAAATTTATACAAATAAATTGCATGCATGACAAATATACTTCAAATTTGCTAATTTTCCGGGGGAAAAGTCGCTTTTCCGAAAAACTGGAGGGTGATGGGAAAAAACGGAGGTCATTTTCGGACTCAGCGGCTCAAAATACATCGGATTAGCCGTTTCTCGTACCGGAGAAAAATTTTACCTACATTCTGCAGGGGGTAATAGTCGCAAAAACACCAAAAATGCCCAAAAATGGCCATTTTTCCGGGTAAAATCGACTTTTCCGGAAAACTGGAGGGTGATGGGAAAAAACGGAGGTCATATTCGGATTCAGCGCCTCAAAATACATAAGGATCACTTTATCTCGTACGGGAGACATTTTTGTCATTTTTTTTTGTTGCACAGTGAATCTGAGTATCAACTTCCCTAAGTAAGTAACTTTAACGTTGTAGGGTAGATAGCAACGCGCAGTCTCGTGAGGATTTTGTCTCAGGACAAAATACAGAGGGAACCCTTCTCCCAAAGCAGGTTATATCCTTCATGATGGTTTCGACTCTTATAGCTTTCATTAAACTTGGGAGTTGATTTTAGAGAAATTATCGCCCCGTTCAGGTTTCCCAGGAGTTCTCGTGGGAACAAAATGTTTAAATCCAAAATCCTTGATGCATGTAAGCATAAGTATATACAATAGTTTATATAGTATAATAAAAGCGGAATACGTTTAATTTACAAAAACATTTAAATTAAAGAATTGGCTGCTGTATTAAATTAATATGCTGTAATTACTTCGACAGGTAGCTCGTATCAGAGGCAAAGCTGGGTACAAACGACTTCATCAAACCAGCCAAACGGGCGGGAGAGAAGAGCAAGGGCTGAGTGGTCCGTGCATACTCCAGTTCGGGGTAAGTTTGGCACCACAGTTGCAAAACAGTGAATCTGTTTCGACCGAATAAGATGTTCTCTGCACAAGGAGTAACATCATTGTGCTTTGTTTTCCATGAATTTGTCATTAGAGTTCGCACTGCAGCTTGCCCACAATTATTCGTCGGATTCTAGACCAATAACCGTAACTACATTTCAACGTTACAAATCTTACCCCCTCACAAATTGTATTTTTATTGGGAAACTGCCGGATGCTTCTGATTGGAAATTTCACTAATTTTCCTTCTGATTACATGCAAAAATTAGCCAAATTATGGACAGAACGTTTACAGCCAAATTATTGGGGGGATGAGTAGTTTTCGTAAATTGTGCAACCCTGGGTTGCAGTTACATGCGTTCCTTTGTCGAGAAAATGACGCATTATTGATTTATTGCCAAATTGATTATCGTTAGTTGACTTTTGATTTAATGGAGATATCTCAAGAAAAAAAGCTACCCATATAAAAAGTCATAAAATTCGCAGGTAGGTAATAATATCTTCTGTATATACCTAGATGTCAGAACAAATAAAAACAGGTAGGGGACCGTTCCTAAATTACGTAACGCTAAATATGCGGTTTTTGACATTCCCTCCCCCCCCTCCGTGGTGTCGCGTAATGCTGGCAAAGACCCCCCTCCCCCGGAGCGTCACGTAATTTAGGTACGGTCTCGAGGTATCTTTGAAGCGTCAGGATTTTATTTACGTAAATAGTAGGTTGTACTAAATGTAATTACTTTGAATCGATCAATCAAAGAGACAGCAACTCTCAGCAAAAATTGCAAAAATGATAGCAATGTCGCAGCGAATAAAAAACTTCCAATAAAAATATTTCTATGGATCATTCCATTTTTTAAAGAGTCAGCAACGTTCTAAAAAATGGTTTTCAGAGACGACTGCATCATTAAACGAACGATCAAACAGTAGCAAATCTGAATCGCAAAACGTGATAAGTATAGAGTATGGAGTCTACTGAAAAAACGTCACTGCATGAGTTCCTCGCACATAAAAACAACGAGGCACTTTTAAAATCCATCTGCACAGCTTCCCAAAAATGTTTGCTTCGGTTAATTTTGCAACCATTGTGGAAAACTGCGCCTCGATTTTTGCGAGTTTTTTTTTTAGATTTTTTTCCATATCATGACGCGTTTCTTCACCGAGTAAAGGTTTTTAGAGGCTTTATCTCGCATTTACTTTATTATTGTTTTTGTTTTAAATACATCCCATGTGGATTTTTTTCATCTTCTTCATCGAGTTGTCATGTGGCATGCCCACATGGGCTCCCAAAATTTGTTTCATACATGTGGAGAGGCTTTTGATGATTCGTAGACAAGATCCTACCGCAAAAATATCGCCGGACAAAATCCCGCGAACAAAATCCCGCCGTACGAAATTCCGTTTTAAAAAAATGATCCCGGGGCGGTATTGTTTTTGAATAGCTTCTGTCATGGAATTGACGTTTCCATTACTGATTTTCCTGTTTATAAACAAATATAAAATAAATAAATAAACATATTTATTTATTTTTTTATTCTTTTTTTTTTAGCGGGATTAATTTCTCCCGGCAGAATTTTTTCCCAGCGGGATCAAAGCCAAAATAGCGGAGTTTTGTCCGCACATCGATCGATTTGGTGAATTCTCCCTCTCTCAAAAAAGAAGGGGAAAGTTGATTTGGATTGCATTTTGCAAAAAGGAACCAGAAGCATTGCAATGATGCTAAGATTGTGCATTTTCATCCTTTACAATAAAATTACTGAAATCGTGAAAAAATATGAAATTTACATGGTAATTTTTGTCTTAAATTTACAGTTTTTAGCTAGTAAAATAGAAACTGTCAATGGATAATCAGGTTTTTTCTCCCAAGACAAAAGAAGTTGCACAATTTTTGCAACATTGCAATGCTCCCGGTTCCTTTTTGCAGAATGCAATCCATAATTTGATCCATCTCGACTTTGAGATTGAAAAGACACGACGTCTATTTTCTAAATTTTACCAGGCGTGTTCACAATGCTAAACTTTATTCAGGGGGGAATTGCATTACATAGGCAAATAAATCGTACCTACAGGTCATCCGGACCATGTGGGACAAGGTTATCTCGGCGGACTGGAAGTATGAGCGAACTCGTTTTTATAGACACCACCTTAGACGAAAGCACACGAAAAAAAGGAGAAAAAAAGGACCAAAATAGGTGGCTTATTGATGGTTTTCCGTTCCCGAGCTTCACGAGCCCCTACCTCTTCCCCATTTTAAGCATCCCTATACATTACAAAATAACCAATTCGAAGGAAAACAGGCAGCTGCGCGCCCATAGTGAAATCACGGCAAGTGTAATGAACCTTACGTATTTCCAGGAGAAAACAGGAGGAGAACCAACTTTTGACACCCAATACTATCTTTCTCATGCGATGCGACTTCAAAAGTGAACTACGACATTAAACTAAAAGTAGTAAAAAGTGACGTATGACATGTAATTTTTTTTTGTATGCTTACGATTTCAAAGGCCCACGGGGGGCCCTTTATGGGCACTTGTCCTTCCTCACGAATAACACGGATGATACTTCACGAGTATGGATATGTATTTTTATCGTCCTTTGCAGGAGAGGACTCGATGACGTTGGAGCGAAGGCCCTCTTTCAACGGCAGAACGAGGCGACATCCGCGGCCTCCCTTTTTGCCTTTCAACCCTTTGCCACCACCTCCAGGCAAGTACATTCACGTACCAAAAATGTAACTTAACGAACACAGACACTTATATTCCGTAAATAGCATCAATATACCGTCACCTTCCAGGCAAAGTATCACAAGCGCCATGCGACGTTTAAAAATTTCCGCCGCCTTTTTATTTTTTTACTGAGAAATTGTTGGTTGAATCTGTTCGAAAATTTCACTAAATTTTATCGGCAGCACAAAGAAAATTCGGTGTAATTTTCGGACAGCTTTGTTGATAGATTTCTCTGTAAAAAAATATAATGGCGGCGGAAATTTTTAAACGTCGCATGGCGCTTGTGATACTTTGCCTGGAAGGTGACGATACTGTGTTTTAATAGGCGGAGCTAGAATTTCTGTAGGAGGGGCACGGCACGGAGGAGTCTGTCATACGCTTCATTCAGGGTCAGGGGCGGTGGTTTTCCTTTACTTCAAATGGGGTCTAGGGGCCTCTCTGGGAAAATTTTAAAAAAGTGAGTCGACTCACGATTAATTTTGAGCTGTTTCTACCGAAAAGTTGATTGAAATACAATATTGAAGATGGAGGGTATGTCACGAACTTATTTAGCAAAATCTCTCACATTTTTTGGCGGGGGCTAAGAATTTATGGGGAAGGGAAGGCCCTCAGCCTCGTCACTGGTTCCATCTACGTCTAATTGAGGTGTTGGGTGCAGAAAAGGCATATCTTGGTGCGGTCAGAATCTCAGATGCTAATTTTTACTTTAGAGAGGAAACTATTGGGTGAATTTTCTGAAATTTTACATTTTCAGCACTGTAAAATCATAAAGAAAATCCAGTAAAAGTCGCAACAAATCAAACACATTTGCTATAATTTTGATGAATGAAACGTTAGCTGAGATTTTGAAACACTGTAACCAAGGAATGCCCTTTTTGCACCCAGCGCTTCAATTCTCTTGGTTTCGAAGAACTGCTGTCACGGGTTTCAGAAATGAGAACGAAATGAGCACTGATGAGGAGCGAGTGACAGTAAAATTGCATGTCTTGCATCGAAATAGTCAAGGGGTTGGAAAATATTTCCACTTACGTGACGTTTCGAGCTACACGTTTTGTCACTTACCAAGAAATGTACAGGAATGAGGCAATTTTTTAACTGAAGCGATAACACCGCGTATAGGTCACGGGCGATGTCGTCATACCGGCCTGTCACCGCCACGGCGCACATTGGTTCCAGAGCCAGATCTAGGCGGCATTAATTAGAGTAGCACCTTTGTTGGCATGCAATACATGTTTTTATAAGTTTTTTGGGTCGCTGATCACGAATTTGAAGTCAGTTTTACTCCATCGTTAACTAAAACATGGTAAATTTGCGAAAAATAGCAAATTCACGCTCAAATACCGGAATTATTATTTGACAATTTGGCTTGGAGCTTGAGCTATGATATATTTGACTAATTTAATGATTAATCATCCAAAAGGACCAACGATTTTACTATTCTTCATTTTTGGATGGTTATTTGAGAAGGGAGGGAGGGGGGGGGGTTGCCACGTTGAATAACTGAACGAAGTACACCTGAATGCAATTAACACGATCTGTTTTCGGAATCTACTTCCATAATTTTGAGGTATAAGAAATGGCAGGATGAAAATAAAGTAAAAGCGTCCTAATAATACCATTGGACAGGGAGAAAAGGCATTGAACGTTTCGGACACTGGTCCGTTGTTCTTTTAAATTAAAGAGGTTGTAATGTATTTTGCATTTTTGGCGCGTATACGTAGTATACCGCCTTTGCGATCGTTTCGACCCCCCCCCCCCCCCCCCCCCCCCC